CGCTCCGCGGAGGCTTCGTATCCCGGTGCCGCCGACCTTTTAGCCTTCGCCAAGTCTCAGGAAAGAGGAAACACAACTCTGGGGAAGTGCTAAGTGCTGCGTGCCAGCTCACTAAACACGCACACGCACACGCACACACACAAGGGCAGACGCGGAGAACCAGCACTCGGGATGGAATTAATTGGAGGTTCCCAAACCGAGGACAAGCTCCCCCACCCCCACCCCCCCAATGCTCGGGGGCGCAGCTCAGCTCGCCTCCGCGGGCTGCTCCGGAGCCTCCCGCCTATTGTTTAGTTTTAATGTGTTTGGTGCAAATCCTGAAAGCAGAGAGACAAGTCCCCACGGTTACATAACTAGATGGGAAGACAAACAAGCACCGTATTTACTCTCCTCTTTGAGAAGAAACACATGGATTTGGAGTTTTATTCAGGCACAAAGCAGGTTTGCATTTAGCCTCCCAGGACAACACCCCCCTCCCCAATACTTCAGTGAATAGACACACTTCTGTCCGCCTAGGAAAGAAAGTTCATTAGCATAATAAGTGATACTATGGGAAAGTGACAGGCTGGCCCCTTCAATAAACTTCAGATACAATAAACGTGGCCATTGAGCTTTCCTACGTTTTGGAAGGAAATACTCTGCACGTCTATAAATCCTTTCAGCATCGGGAGAATATGTAAAGTCAACTATAGGCAAGGATATTTGAGTCAGTTTTGTTTCTGCTGTGATTTAATCTGAAAAAGATAAAACTGCTATTGAAGCTCATCAAATGATGGGAAGATATTGATGCATATATGTGTATCTGCATGTATGTAAATGAGGAACCCTAGTGGCATATTATGTTGAGTGTTGCACTGCTAATGGAAAGGTCAGCAGTTCCAAACCCTGAGCTGCTCCAAGGGAGTAGCTGCCCCCGTGAAGAATTACAATCCGGGAAACCCACTGCAGCTCGACTCTGTCCCATAGGGTTGCTATGAGTCGTCGGAATCGACTCTCTGTTAGTAAGTGGTGTGTGTGTGTGCAGATACACAGAGAGAGACATTCATAAAGTATGTGCTTGCTGTAAAATGCCCTAGAGCTGGTTCTGGCTCTCTGCATAGATACATAGTTTTGTGGGGGGATTTTGCCTAGGGTTTAAGAGATTAAAAAAAAAAAACCTACAAAAAAAAGAACAAAAACACAAAGTGTGTCCTATTTTTAATATTTAAACCGATTCTCTTTTTTTCTACACTTAGATAATCAGGACCTCTAACCTACTGAATATTACAGTTTATTTTAAAAATCAAACCCTACATATTTTATCTTGATACATGTCCACATATTTTTTTCAGAACATTTCTTCTGATTTAGAATGTCTTTTAACAGCCTTGAAGGAGGTTCCTTGAAATAAACTGAATCGTGAGAGTTTTGGATGAAAGAATATGTTCTGTTCATTTGTTCTAATAGTTGAAAGCATTAGCTACACTTAAAAAGAAAGATGCTTTTCACATAATGTACATCTAAGTAACTATCAATTTTCCAGAAGATATCTTTGCAGAGCACATTTTAGAGTGAATCTCTCTACTCATCTATAAGGAATTAAAGAAGGAATGTGGTGGGGTTTTCATTATTTTAGCGACATGATTTTCCAAATGATGTAAGAGAAACTGATGGACAGAGATGCAATTCCCCCCTTGTAAAAGTTACCTATCTAGAGGTAGCCAGGAGCAAAGGGCAAACAATGCGGATGGCTTCACACTCTGTGGCTGAAGAACAAAGAACAGACCTTTTTAAAGAGCAGACCTCAGAGCACCTAGTAAACAATCAAAAAAGAAAAGGCCACATGGGGAGCCCACAGCCACTAATGAATGGACAATCAAACCGGATTTAGCTTTCGCACGTGTGCGTATCAGGAGGAAGCAAGGAATGCATTTCTTCTCCCCCCTTCTTCACCCTTTCCCAGTGATGAAAAGGAGAAGTCAATTTTTAAATATATACACTTTTTATCAGGTGTCTGCAGGGATAAAATCACACTTCTCTCTCGCCAATTGCCCACAATTAGAGATCTGCTTATACAGTTTCCATCTATCACAAAATTAACTTGTACTCAACCCGCTATAGCTGCAATCTCACCTCTGAGAACAATAGGCAGGCTTGAGTTACAACCACCAATACAGTTTTACCCAATCAAAATATTCACTTCAATGACTGTATATGGAGGGTCTCTGTGCACGGTGCAGAGTAGTGAGCTAAAGACCACGTCCATGCTGATCTCGAGAGCAGCATTTCTCAAGATGGGTCAAGACCATATCATCAGAGTCATTGGCAGTGCTCGTTAAAATGAACATTCCTGGGCTCCAGCCCAAATGTATTGAATGAAAATCTCAGAACTGAATGTCCTAGATTCTCTTAAAAGGGTACTCGGTTTTTGGTTGCTTGGTTTGTTTTATGCACACCAATATTGGAGAACGATCATTCTGAAGCCTTGGAATCAAGTGGGCTGGGGAGAGTCATTGGGGCCTTCAAAAATGTAAGGACTGGGGGAAATGGAATTAAAAGATAATTTCATCTTTCCACTGAATTTTAAAAGATCTCTCATGTAGCTAACCCTACTAAAAAGGAAATTAAAATGAATGCTTTGCAAGAAAAATTACAAAGAGAGCTAGCAGAAAGATATTCATTTTAATTGTAGAAATCAGATTTCTCTTGGAAGTGCCTGAAAGATGTTTTTATGATGGCATGAATCATGTCTGAGCATTCTTCCACTCCTCAGTCTACTCCTAAATATCATTTATAATTAATGAGCAACTCTTCAGGACACTCCATAGCAGTGCCATGTGCTAGGCACCTCTCGCTGTCTTCTGGAGCCCAGGAAGGAGTTCTCAATTCTGCATCAAAGGCACATGAGCCTAAGAAAACCGGGCTGGAGAATCTGGAAACCTTCACTTTGACAGTAAATAAGGTCTTTCATACGCTCTGAATATGTTGCACCTCTTCCCACTTCCTCTATTGAAACTGTAGCCTCCGCCTGCCAGGAGAAGTAAAGCAACAACCAAAATGATGGACAGAATCCAGCTTTTGCCCTGAAATACTAATGAGGCTGAAGCCTCCAATTAAAAGGAGCAGGGAGAAAAGAAGATAGAAGAGGCTGGGTAGTAAACTCGCTCAACCACTTAACCTATTCCATATGCATGAGCTTGATTTGGTTAGAATCCATTTTCAGAGGGTTCAAAGACACGAAGTGCACTGCAGAGTGGCTGGCCTTGCCTGAGCCTGGAGAAGGATTGACTACTGGACTACCAGACGAAGAAATCCAGGGCCGCTGCTTCGCATGACGAGGGGTCTTTCATTGTTTATGCTATTTCCACACTACGATTTCCCCCAGATTAATAACAGATCAAATAGGAAGTTGAAACTCATGAACAAATAAGGAGATCACAATTTTGTGTTTACATTTTATAAAATAAGCAAGTTCAATGGTCAGATGGTCATTTATATGCCAGTTAAATTAATTCTGGCATAGCTTTGACTACTGTACCTTCCCTAGCCTATGATGGCCTTGCTTAGCCTATGTGCGTACAGACAAAATATTATAGACACAGTGGTTGGAATGATATTAACGTACCTCTCAGAGTATCAAATAAACAGATATTCTGAAAATATTTAATAACACTCTAAACCCTTAGTTACTTACACTTGATTTTGATGATAATTTAGTCTTAACAAGAACAGAGTGTTCGGGAGCTTATAATCATTTCATTATACGAAATCAACGCTGTTAGAATACATATTAATTTAAAGGATGAAATACAGTTTTCCCAAGCCATATGGTAATTTCTGATAAAGTTGTTTATGGCATAGAAAACTTAAGTGTTGGCATAATATTTCTTGGAAATTTTAATTAGCAAGACTTAAAAAGTTGCAGTCCCTTCCAGATTAACCTGATAATGACCCTTATTATTATAGTAAATTAACCTACAATCATCATAGTAAAATTCATGGCCAGGTTGGTCTGGGCTTAGTCTCAAAAAATCAAAATCTGACACTCTACCATCTTCCTATTTATCTTTAAAAATTCTCTTCACCCATATATGCCTGTAAACTATACCCTAATTAACCTTCCCTGAAAAAAATTCTAGAGTTCCATATATTGCCAGTGATGGGCAGAATAAGATCCTCAGAGATGGTCACGTCGGTAGTCAGTGAAATTCAAGTTACAGGAGCAGATGTTTTGTTGTTGTTGTTGTTGTTGTTGCTGCTGCTGTGAGGTGCTGTCAAGTTGATTCCACCTCACAGCGACACTAAGCACACGAAAACAAAACCCTGCCTGATCCTGAGACAGCTTCCTAATTGTTTGAGCCTATTGTTGCAGCCACTGTGTTCATCCATCTCACCCAGGGGCTTGCTCTCCTTCGCTGCCCTTGGGCTCTTCCAAGTGTGCTGTCCTTCTCCAGGGACTGGTCTCTCGTGCTGCTATGGCCAAAGCATGTGAGATGAGGCCTTGACAGCCTTGCTTCCAAGGAGCATTCTGACGGCTCCTTCCTCCAAGGCAGATTTAGTTGTTCCTCTGGCGGTCCGTGGGATTTTCATGATTCTTTTCCAACACCATCATCCATGTGTATCAGTTTTTGTGTGTGGGCTTCCCTATTCATTGCCCAGCTTTCACATGCACTTGAAGTGCTTGAAAATATCA